GGCGCGGCCTGCGGAGCGCGCCGCCAGCCCCGCAGCCCGAGCCGGGCCCCGCCGCCGCACAGGCCGGCTCCAGAGGGGGACTGCTTTGCCCAAGTATGAGAACTGGCGGCTCCTGAGGTCCCCAGGACGGGTGGTAGGGGAAAGTCAGCCAGACTGCACGCTTTCTGCCCCTCGGGTTTTGTGATTAAAAAATAAACAAATGTGTGGACCCAGATGTAGGTGTGAAATGCCCCCTGTGCCGCGCGGGGACACAGGAGGCTCCAGAGCAGTGCTATTGATTATTCTTTTTTATTTATCAAAATCGCCATTTGTATGATGCATGAGAAGTACATAGATATCTGACTACGCTCAGTGGGAAACCACCCAGCACGAGCTCATTGACAAAGGCTTAAAAGCAACTAGAAAGCCACAGATTGCCTGAGAGTCTTACACCTCGAAGACTCAGACATGTAGGCCATGACGGTTTCCAGGTTGGCACATTCTCCCACTAAGTGTCGTTGTCCAAGACCCCATGAAAACATTCTGAACCATATGCTAATTTTGATATACATAAAAATGAAAAGATGCGATATCCATCTTCTATTTTCCGTGCATTGCTGAGTTCTGATATGTTTAAGAATTGTATTGAAATGACGTTCAAGAAATACTACATATAAAAAGCATGAGGGATTTATTATTAACCCTATCTGGAAGAAAAACTGATATTTTAAAGTAAAAAGACTGGACTGAAGCTAAACAAAGTTGTACTGCATGAGGGTAAAAGTAGTTTTACACTCTAAGTCGGTTTAAGTTTCCACTCTATATTTAACTCTTGGTTTTCCCTTTTTAAAGTATTAAATTGTTTTTAATTACACTATTAAAAAAGTAAGACCCTGTCAGCACTGATGTCATGGGAACAAATACATAAGAACAAGCAAGGAAAGATATTGTAAAATATCCACTTATTAAAATGCTTTAAAATGTTTTCTTAAATTATATATTACATATATATATATATATATATATATATATATATATAGCATTACGAAGACCAGGTTCTAACACCAATCAACTGTAATAAACCTTTTCCTGCCTCAGTTTACACAGACTCTAGAATATAAGAAGTACCAGGAAAAAGATTAAAACATCTAAGGAAAACAAATGATACAAACATACCAACAATATTTGATGACCAATAGTTCACTTAATTTTCTAGACACTAATCTCAGTAAGTTAATCAATTTTTTAAATGTTTCAGTCTTATAATTGCATAAATCATCTTAAGTCCTTTAAATAAATGTATTGCTTCAGAGGATGGTATTTCCCAGAAAGTGAAAAAAAAAAGATGTAATAAAAATACAGACAATGGATTTTATAGCCTACGTATAGTGGGCTATGCATGTGAAAGTTAAGCTAGTTAGTTAACCTAGAAAGTTAAATAACTAAACTCCCCTTTGCCTAGCCCATGGCTAGAAGGTCAGTGGGGTGCAATGAATTTTTAAGACAAGAAGAGAAAAAAAATTGTAGAGGACAAGTTTCCATCAAGAATCTTCTAGTTTACTTGAAAAATGGAGAGGTATATCTTTCAACTCTATTTTCTTCATTATAGTCCCATTTTTCTGGTATTTGGTCAAATTTTAGGTTACCAGACAGAATTTCCAAGAAGCAAGTTTTTACAGAGTAATGATATAAATGGCTTTTAAAATACAAATTTAATCTTACTTGTTTAAACAAAAATTAATCCTACCAACTCGGAAAGACATCTGTGGTTAAATGTGTTCACTGGCACTTTGTAACCTAAGATGATGCTGGTGAAAATTTTAAAAGCTCAATCTTATATACATAAGTTGATTTGCTGAAAGGAAATAAACCTCTTTCGTGGGAGGTTATTAAAAGGGAAATTACATCTTGTAAAAATTAGTCACTTACCTTTTAATGTGTTAGAGAATTACTTTGTATTGTTTTTATGCAATATTATGTGACGACATAAGTTAAAATGTGCTTGTATTTTTTCCTGATAGTCATTTGGATCAGATTTAAGTGAAATGTGGCAATGAGTCTTCTCCGTCTCCTTGCAATCTCCGCTCCAGGTCCTCCCTCACAGAGGTGGCCCTCCTCAGTGGGCCTTTTTGAGGTACCTGCTCCTCTGGAAGTGCTCTCCCCTAACAAAATAGCTCCCTCTGCTACCACGTTTCCCATTTAGAAAACTGACCAACAAAACTATTGCTTCTCTTGATGTCACCTCCCAAAATTTCCCTGATCTCTCATAAGGGGAACCTTGATTTCAGCTCCTACCTTTAACTTGATATCTTCTGAAAGTACCTTTTTCCCCTCACTAGTTCTAGGCCCTTGATGTTAAGCACCTGTCTTGACTTGATTCTAGCTCCCACTTCCCAGCACTGAGCACTGTGCTTGCATATAGCAGATGCTCAGTAAATTCTTTTGACTGCGTAGAAGGTGTGTTCTACAGGGGCCCTAGCACACAGTTCCCATAGCTGCTTTCCTACCCTGTTGCCGCAGACAATAGACAACTGATGAGTTTTACAGAGCAGAAATTCCATGACTTGGAGGCTTTGAGGGTTTCCATCTCATCCTTCCCCCTTTCTTCTAATAATAAAGGTACAGTCCCAGAGAATAGGCTAGAGAAGAGAGAAGTGTGCTTGCCTTGTCCCTAACAGAGATCTTGATCTCCTGGACAACCATCCACCTGCCAACCACAGGAGGCATGATGGAAACCAGCTGTTAAAGGAACCTGACTCCCACCCCTGTTTCCTCAGCTCTGTCAAACAGAGGGACTAGGGAAAAGATGAGGAGCTATTAATATAGCCAAGACAGGAACAAGCAGTTCGTATATACTAGCCATGACTTCTCTGCCTCAGGTCCTCTCCTGCTGCAAAAGGTATGTTTGTATGCACAGTTTGTATGACATTTAATATATGCCAGTATATAGAATATATGTAATCTTGCCAGGGACTAGTATTTTAGGATACAAACTTCTATTAAATTTTATTTACTAAGAAACATATACCAAATGGAAGGAAAGTATGACTTGAAAATGCTTTACCCCCAGTAAAAATAAGAGAAACAAAAGGAGTTTAGAGGAATGCCTTGTTCCTGAATCCCTGAAAGTGAAATATCCAAGAACTTTCCCCAGGTGAAATCTCTTCTTTATCTGCCACCATCTCTGGAAATAAAAAGTACCAAATTACATGGTTTTACTTGCTTTTGAAAATGCTGTGCAACTTGAAAACATTTTTAAAAGGGCTCTTGACATTTGCAGCAATTCTATGAGAAGTGAAAACGTGGCCTGAGGCCTTCTCTTAAAATGAGGCTCTGAGGCACCCTTTCCACGTGTGTGTCTGCTCTAAGTACACCAACAGCAGATGGATGACCAAGAGAAAAAATGCAAGCAGGGTGCAGTGACACACTCCTGTGATCCCAGCAACTGAGGAGGCTGAGAATTTCAAGTTCAAGGCAAGCCTCAGCAACTTAGACCCACCCTGTCCCAAAATTTAAAAAATAAATAAAATAAAAAGGACTTGGGATGTAGCTCAGAGGTAAAGCACCCTGAATTAAATCCCTAGTATTAAGAGAGAGAAAAGATGTGAAATTTTAGGATGCTTGCAGCAACCCAAACTGATGAGTGTTTGGACAGATGTGCATAGTGATAAGAAGGGCTGAAAGGGAAGCCCTGCTGGACTCTGGGCCAAAGCTGGCATATCCTGTAGGAGCTGGGTTTCTTGGAGGTGGTGGGAGGGCTGGTAATGCTCAAAGGGAGAAGAGAAACTACTGCCCAATGCAACCTGGAGCTGTGACTCTCAAGTCTCACAAGTCATGGTAAGAGAAGAGAAAATCCTGACACAGCCTTCTGACCAGAAACCGTGCTATGCCAGCCAGAGAGCACATTTGATTCCTTCAACTATGACAGCAGGACTGCTCCTAGTGACAGACTTGTTAGCCAGAGAAAAGGGGAGCAAAAAGACAGACACCCGGTAAGCTGGCTAACCGAGAGCTCCAATGCGCATGAGTAGCTCAAACGCTAACAGACCATCCAAATCAGGATGAATTCAATTCCAGATAGAATAAAAGCAATGGAGCATTCTGAAAAGAGCTTTAAAATAAATATGTTTAAAACCCTTAAATAAATATATGAAAGAATATCCACGGAGAGGGATAAGAAATTATAAGGTGACTGGCAACAATAAAATTTATTTTAAAGAACCAATTGGAAATCCTAGAAATGACAAAATTTACTAATTGACATCTTTTTTAAAATCCAATTTCAGAGGACTGCAGGGAGGGCAGGGAAGCATCATCACTGAGATAATGGCTGGGAATCTTCCTTCCAGAGGGGAAGAAACCCCTGAGTCTACAAGTCCACAAAGCTATCAAACACTAGGCATGATGGATGGAAGTAAATCCACGTCTGAGCAAATTGCAGTTCCACTAGAGGGTCAGTTCAGTCAAAGGGGAAACATTAGAAAAGTTACCTGAAAAAGAAAAAATCCCTGTGAATGAAGGAAAGCAGCCAACGGGATGAGGAACGTAGGAGTGCATGCGTCTCTGGGCTTGGGCTGGGTAGCTGAGCTGAGAAATCCAAGGGCAGGATGGCCGC